GACATATTAAGTGTCCACTATTCATAGCTAACGTCATATTGATTATACTGTTTAAGTTGTTTCTATTCTTTTGCTTTTACAAATCACAATTCAAGGAAAATCCTTCTTGTATATTTTTGAAAACATGCATGATTATCTTCTTAGGATAAATTCCTAGAAGAGAAATTTTTGTGTCAAAATGTAAGCACATTATATTCTTGATACATTGTATAAACATGCTCTCTAGAAATTTTGTACCAGTGTTTAATCCTATCAGCCTTTATGACAGTACATTTGCCCTATACTCTGGCCAATACTATTAATATTATCATCAATTTTCATCTTTGTCAAGCTAAGAGATTTTAAATTTTATTACCATTTCTTAGTCCCTATTTTAATTTTGTTCACATTTATTTATTTCTAACATAAACATTTGTTTGATATTTGCATTTTTCCATTCCAAGTTGTATTCTAATATTCATTAATCATTGGGATGTAGGTATTTTAAAATATTGAATTTAAGGGGGGAAAAAAGCAACCTCAGATATCTAGGGACTGATCTGACACTGGGCCTCACTGTTACGTGAAGCTGGCCTGAAGTTCACTGCTAAGCCATGTTATTCTCTTGTTGGACACAAATCATCTCACAAAACACCAACATCAGACAAGGTCACTCTGAGATAATGACAAAGTGAGACAAAACAAGAGCACTTCCTACTTTTCTCTAAGCACTCTCCCCACTAATACGAGTGGCTGATGCTTCTCTACTAATGACAGCTTTATCCTTCTCTAGTCCAGCCTTCCTAGGGATAAGATTTACTGAGACACCCAGTTATAGAATTGCCCGTTTCCTGACAAGTACACAACCTAGAGTGAAGCTTACTTTCTTACACAGTCCCCAGAATCACCCAACCAAAGCCCAAATCCTATAATGTGCTCTTTCTAACACCCTCTTACTGACACGCCACATAGTCCACAGCGCACATTCTTGCTCTTGGCAACAAGTAATAAACCCAATGTCTTCACCCACAGGTGTGCTCCTGGTGGCCTTTGGGGGAAGGGCATGGACACGTTGCTATTTTGTCTATAAACTTTTTTATATGCCTTTGAGATTGATTATTGGAAAGTGTTTATATATTTTGTGTGTGTGTGCTAACCAAAGAGAAGTTTTTTCATTCGTAAGTAGTTAAAACTATCATGATTTTTCCTTATGGTTTTTCATCTTTGGAGCATGTGTAAAGAATCCTTCTTCACTCCTCAATTATAAACATTTCGTGTATAATTCCATCCAGGTTGTGATAATGAGGAAAGAAGAGTCTGAGGGTAAAGGAAAAAAAATTGTTGGACTGTCGGGGAAGGGGAAGCAACAGGTAAAGAATTCTAAGGTATGTGCACAGGGCCTACAGGGTACCTGACATATGTCATAGTCAACAAATAGTTTATCCTGGGGTAAATGAAGACTTGTCTCCTATGTTCACCAGGTTAAAGCAAACAATAACACCAGAGTCCCAGTGCGATATACACAAGGATTAGTTAGCATTGGCAATGGGCATTTCTGAATACTTACAACCTTGAGGTAATAAATCATGTTTGTTTGGGTTAATGTCTGTACACTCTAGTGATTAACATACATATTAATTAAACTTTCTTGGGCATGATGTATTTTAAGGATAGGTCTACAACCCACATAGAAAATCCATGGCTTCTATATGAAGGTAATTTGAATATGCTTCAATCTATGAGTCCCACAGCGTATGTCGGGGGAGACTGAAAACTAAGAACTCTCTAGATACGCACTGTCAAATATGATAGCTACTAGGCACACATGGCTGTTTAATTAATTACATGATATTTAAAATTCAACTGCTCAGTCACACTAGTCCCATTTCAAGTGCTCAATAACTACACATAGCTCATTCTGCGCTACTAGAGAGTGCAGCTAGAGAACATTCCCTCAGCACACAAAGTTCTTTCGGACAGTTCTCTCGATGCTTTGTGAGCCTCGGGTGGGCTGTGCAGAGCCATTTGTAATGAAGGAGCCAGTGTCACTGCTCCTGCAGACGGCATCATCCCCCACCGTCTGCACTGCGGCCACCTTCTAAGCTGCTCTGTAACAAAACCCAAGGGGGCCATGACTAAATCTCTCTCTGGTGCCTGCAGACACAGTGTTTCCAGTTCCAAATGGGAAACACCTGTCCATCCGCCTCAGTTCTCTGACTGAGCGATGTCTGGCATCGCATTTTCAGGGGGCAAGTTCTCTTCTAGAAAGGCAAGGGCAGAGCCCTAACCTGAGTTTTGGAAGGGAGGGAGTCCTGCTCAGACAGCAGGATTCTGGCGAGTGAAGAGGAGTTAAAGAGGCTGGGGCCGATTAGGAGATTCCCCCTGGTTTACTCAGCAGCTCTCAATGTGTGTTCTGTAGAACACTTAGAGTCACTGAGACACTTTCATGGTATCTACCAGGTCAAAAGGAATTTTATAACACTACCAAGACAATATTTACCTTTCTCACTGTGTTAACATTTGCACTGAGGTAATTCTACTGGCACCTTAGCAAGAATCAAGGCTATAGCACCAAACTGCAATACTAGTTATTGTACTCTTCACTTTCAAATGTCCCATGGAAGCAGTAAAAATTAACTTTGTTAAATATTCATTCTTGAGTCCACATCTCTATATTATTTGATGTAATAAAATGGAAAGTATGTGTAAAATACTTATGCTACATTCCAAAATATTATGTTTGTCTCAAGGAAAATAATTCGTGTTAGACGTAGTAGCCTCTTTTTTAATGAAATTCCATTTTTACTTGAAAGAATGAATGACATGCCAGGCACGGTGGCTCACACCTGTAATCCTGGCACTCTGGGAGGCCAAGGCGGGAGGGTCATTTGAGCTCAGGAGTTGGAGACCAGCCTGAGTAAGAGTGAGACCGCGTCTCTACTAAAAATAGAAAGAAATTAGCCAAACAACTAAAAATAGAAAAAATTAGCCAGGCATGGTGGCGTGTGCCTCTGGTCCCAGCTACTAGGGAAGCTGAGGCAGGAGAATCACTTGAACCCAAGAGTTTGAGTTCACTGCGAGCTAGGCTGACGCCACAGCACTCTAGCCCAGGCAACAGAGCAAAAAAAAAAAAAAAAGTCTCCAAAAAAAAAAAAAAAAAAAAAAAAAAAAAAAAAAAAAAGGAATGAATGACTGAATGACAGACATTGGATAGATTTGGATATTTAGCAGAGATACTTTCTCAAAATTGAACAAAAGCCTGTCACTTCAAAGAAATCAACTGACAGTATGTGTTGTCAATGATAAAATTTAAGCTCTCCAGAAATAATTAGAATTTTGGGAAACTTGTATCCACCTTCTTTAGCTGCACAGCTTTCCAATACTTCAAACTTTGCTGCTGGGATCCGGGATGATATTAATTAGCAAAAGTAACTTTTTGATAATTTGTAATGAAATGTGTCAACACTGGACAATATGCATTCTCAGTGAACCAGTCATTACTTTTTACAAGTCATCCATTAGTTACAAGATTCTTTCAATGAGCAAGATGTTTTAATGTGACAATCTATTTTAATGTAATAGAATATAAATATTCAATGATAGGGTTTCAGGTTGTATCTAATCTTTAAGAAACTATCACTTGTACAGTTTTTATATAGTATCAAAGGTGAATATCCACAATTATTAATACATGAAAAACCTATTAAAAACAATCCTCTCTTTTTCCAACTCAATATTTGCATGAGGCTAGATTTTTCGACATACACTTCAATCAAAATAAGAGAATGAAAGCAGAAGCAGAGATGAAAATACAGTGGTCTTCTAAAGAGACAGACAAAAATGGCACTACAAAAATGTAAAATGTTCAGTCTTCTCACTATAGTCTGCGTCTCTGTACCGCCGGGTCTGCATCTGGGGGAAATATCCCTGTTATAAAGTCCCAACCAACAGCAAATCAAAAATATTTGGAAAGAAAAACAATAAAATATAACACGAATTTGAAAAACAATACATTATAACAACCATTTATGTAGCATGTACATTCTTTTAAGCAATCTAGAGATGATTTAAAATATATGGGAAGATGTGCCTAAGTTATATGCAAATACACCATTTTATATAAGGGACTTGAGCATCTTCTAACTTTGGTATCCACGGAGTTCGTGGAACCAATCTCCGGTGGTTACAGAGGGATGACTATACGTTGTTTATTTTGGAAACTAGTCATTTTTCATAAACATATATTATTTCTGTTAACTATGGGCTATTAATGTCATTCTAAATGAATTAACATTTCTAAATTCTGTTTTAACTGATGATATATTAATAAATATTGTTATAATCCACAGAAATAAAATGTTTTTGGGGTCCTCACTAATTTCTATAGTGCGTTTAGACGCCACAGTGGCTCACGCCTGTAATCCTAGCACTCTGGGAGGCCAAGGCGGGAGGATTGCTTGAGCTCAGGAGTTCGAGACCAGCCTGAGCAAGAGCGAGACCCAGTCTCTACTATAAATAGAAAGAAATTAGCCACAGCCGTAGTCCCAGCTACTCAGGAGGCTGAGGCAGAAGGATCGCTTGAGCCCAGGAGTTTGAGGTTGCTGTGAGCTAGGCTGGCTCCACAGCACTCTACTCAGGGTAACAGAGTGAGACTCTGTCTCAAAAAAAAAAAAAAAAAAAGAGGGAAAAAAGAAAGAGAGCGTATGGAGATGCTGAAACCTCAAAGTTTAAGAATTGCAGGCTTACGCAGAGGCCCTTAGCCGGGACTCAGGGAGACAGTGTGACAAAGAGCGGTCGGTGCAGGAGGAGATGAGGGGGGCAATGTGTCAGGTCCCGGGCGTGGTTCGCAGGGCCTCAGCCTAAGGCGGCGTGCAGGGTGGGGAGCCCAGCATTTCCCGCTGCAGTTTCACGTCTCTAATACCCCGTCGTATGTCCTTCTTCCTGGATACTGCTGACGTAGCCCTGGTTCTCACTCCGATTGGGTTTCTGTTTCCAGGGAAGCCAATCAGCGTCGCCGCGGTTCCCGGTGATAAACTCCCACGACCTACCCCGACTCAGAGTCTCCATAGACCCCGAGGATGGAGGTCACAGTGCCCCGAACCCTCCTCCTGCTGCTCTCGGGGGCCCTGGTCCTGACCGAGACCTGGGCGGGTGAGTGCGGGGTCGGGAGGGAAGCGGCGTCTGCAGGGAGAAGCGAGGGGACCGCCCGGCGGTGGCGCAGGACGCGGGCACCGCGTCTCGGTGGCCCCCGCTCCCTTTTCCCGCCGTCCCGTTTCCGCCTCACAGGTCCTCTCGCCCCCTCCTCCCCTCCCCGCCCCCAGGCTCCCACTCCATGAGGTATTTTTCTACCGCTGTGTCCCGGCCCGGCCGCGGGGAGCCCCGCTTCATCTACGTCGGCTACGTGGACGACACGCAGTTCGTGCGGTTCGACAGCGACGCCGCGAGTCCGAGGGTGGAGCCGCGGGCGCCGTGGGTGGAGCAGGAGGGGCCGGAGTATTGGGACCGGGAGACACGGAAGGCCAAGGGCCACGCACAGACTGTCCGAGTGAACCTGCAGGCCCTGCGCGGCTACTACAACCAGAGCGAGGCCGGTGAGTGACCCCGGGCTCGGGTCACAGGTCACGACCCCTCCCCACCCCGCACGGACGGGCCGGGGTCTCCTAGTCTCTGGGTCGGAGCTCACCCCGAAGCCGCAGGACCTGCCCTGCCCCTCAACCCGAGAAGAGCTCGAGGGAATTCGCTCCGGGTTCCCTTTCGATTGGGGGGCGGGGGTGGGACTGAGTGGGCGTGGCTGACCTCGGGGCGGGGCCAGGGTCTCACACACTCCAGTTGATGTACGGCTGTGACATCGCGCCCGGCTGTGACATCGCGCCCGACGGTCGCCTACTCCGCGGGTACTGGCAATACGCCTACGACGGCGCCGACTACCTCTCCCTGAACGAGGACCTGCGTTCCTGGACCGCGGCGGACACCGCGGCTCAGATCTCCAAGCGCAAAGCCGAGGAGGCCGGTGATGCGGAGCACCAGAGGGCCTACCTGGAGGGAACGTGCGTGGACTGGCTCCGCAGATACCTGGAGCACGGGAAGGACACGCTGCAGCGCGCGGGTACCAGAGGGCCACAGGGCAGCTCCCCCATCTACCTTGGGCTGGGGCTGTGCCAGCAACCGGCAGCCCTCAAGGACTAGAGGAAAATACAATGGGGCCAGAATACCACTCTGCCCTTGAATGGGGAGAGGGAGTCCGCCTGGGTCTCCAAATCTGTACGAGACAGTGACTCGCTCAAAGGGCCTGCCCTTGGCTCAGAGGCAATTAGGGAATCCGGTCTTTCTGGGGATGAGGGGAAGACCATCCTTGAAATGACTCATCAGCGGTTCTCTGACTCTGGCAGCAGCACTGGGAATCCTGGGGGACTTTCTCTCAGGTCTTGTTCTCTGCCCCACACCCAGCATCTCTGGAAGTCTGACTCCAGCTTTTCTCAACTCAGCTTCCCCCCAGGTCAGGAGCAAAAGTCCTTCTTGTCCCCCACGGAGACCTGGAGCCTCCTACCCTGTGCTGTCTCATCCCAATTCTAGAACTTTCCAGTGAATAGGAGATTATCCCAGATCCCTCAGTTCAAGGTGGTGGCTAGGTTTTATGCTCCCTTCTCCCACCCTAATTGTCCTGTTAGTTCCCAGGATGATCAGCAGTGCTGGGGGAGTGTTCCACAAAGAATGCAAAAGTTTCCTAATTTTCCGATCCTTCTCAGATCCCCCAAAGACACATGTGACCCACCACCCCATCTCTGACCGGGAGGCCACCCTGAGGTGCTGGGCCCTGGGCTTCTACCCTGCGGAGATCACACTGACCTGGCAGCGGGATGGGGAGGACCAGACCCAGGACACGGAGTTTGTGGAGACCAGGCCTGCAGGGGATAGAACCTTCCAGAAGTGGGCGGCTGTGGTGGTGCCTTCTGGAGAGGAGCAGCGATACACGTGCCGTGTGCAGCACAAGGGGCTGCCGGAGCCCCTCACCCTGAGATGGGGTAAGGATGGGATGGGGTGGTCACATCTCTTCTCAGGGAAATCAGGGGCCCTTCTGGAGCCCTTCAGCAGGGTCAGGGCTGAGCCTGGGGTCAGGCCCCTCATCTTCCCATCCTTTCCCAGAGCCGCCTTCCCAGCCCAGCGTCCCCATGGTGGGCCTCCCTCCTGGCCTGATTCTCCTTGGAGCTGTGCTCACTGGAGCTGTGGTAGCCGGAGCTGTGGTTGCCACTTTGATGTGGCAGAAGATGAGCTAAGGTGAGGAAGGGGTGAAGGGTGGGGTCTGGGTTTTTTTGTCTCCCTGGGGGTTTCAAGCCCAGGTAGAAGTGTGCCCTGTCCCATTACTGGGAAGTTCCATCCACACCTGCTCACCCAGCCTGGGCCCCATGTGCCAACACTGACTCTTGTAAAGCACGTGTGAAAGTCAAGGACAGAGTTTTCACACAGATGATTGTGGTGATGGGGACCTGGTCCTCAGCAGTCACAGGTCAGAGGGGAAGGTGTCTGCCAAGGACAGACCTCCAGGAGGGCAACTGGTCCAGGCCCTCCTTTCTTATATTTCTTGATCTTGCCCTGGGTCTATAGACACAGTTCTGGAAACTTCTCTGGGATCCAAGATTCCTCTAGGACCTCATGGCCCTGCCTCCTCTCTAGCCTCTCACAGGACATTTTCTTCCCACAGGTGGAAAGGGAGGGACATACATTTAGGCTGCCAGTAAGTATGGAAAGGGGTGATCTTTGAGACCCTTGGGATAATGTAGACAGGAGTCCAGGGGGGAGCTCCCCCACCCCATAATTCGTCCTTTAGTTACATCTCCTGTGGGCTCTGACCAGGTCCTGTTATTGTTCTTTTCCAGGGCACTGATGTGTCTCTCATGGCTTGGAAAGGTAAGATGCTGGGGGGCCTCATGTGGCAGGGGGCGGAACAGAGGGGACATGAATGCTCCACAGAGGTGAGGCTGGGATGTCTCCATTCCTGTCTTAACTTCCTGGTGCACTGAGCCACATCTTCTTACTTGTCATATTCTTGCCATAAAGTGTCATTGAGGAAGCTGAGCTCAGAGCTAGAAAGATAGACAAATGATTCCAAGTATTTCTCCAGCAAATGTAGCCTGTTCACCTGTAATCTTGATCATGGCCCTCAGAGATGAATATTGTTTTCATATTGCTGTGGTTTGAATGTCCCCTTGAAAAGTCATGTTGAAACTTAATCCCTAATGTAGCAGTACTGAAAGGTGGCGCCTTTAAGAGGTGATTGAAGGCCAGGCATGGTGGCTTATGCCTGTAATCCTAGCACTCTGGGAGGCTTTAGGCCAGGAGTGTGAGACCAGCCTGAGCAAGAGAGAGACCCTGTCTCTACAAAACATAGAAAATTTGGCCAGGCGTGATAGCATGTGCCTGTAATCCCAGCTACTTGGGAGGCTGAGGCAGGAGGATCACTTGAGCCCAGAAGTGAGGTTGCAGTGAGCTGTGATGATGCCACTGCACTCTAGCCCAGGAGACAGAGCCAGACTATAAACGAACAAACAAAAAAAGGTGATTCAATTCACAAGGCAGAGCCCTCATGAGTGGATCACTCCATTCATGGGTTAATGGGTTATTACACGAGTGGGACTGGTGGGCTAGCGCTCAGCCCTCTCACCATGCGATGCCCTGCACCAGCCAGAAGGGCCTCACCAGATGTAGCCCCTCAACCTTGGGCTTCCCAGGCTCCAGAACTGTAAGAAATACCTTTCATTTCGTTACAAATTACCCCATTTCCTATATTCTATTATAAGCAACATAAAACAGACACAGACAGAAAAACTGGTAGAAAGAAGTAGGATTGTTGTACCTGAAAATGTGGATGTGACTTTGGAACGGGGTGATGGGCAGAGACTGAAAGAATTTGGAGGAGCAGAAAAAGGTCCTAGAAACAGCCTAGGTTCTGGGGAGGAAAGACAAGAAGACCAGGGAAAGTTTTGAACTCCTTAGAGATCGATGAAGTGGTCCTGACCAGCACGTTGCTAGAAATAGGACAGTACAGGCCATTCTGATGAGGCTTCAGATGGAACTGAGGAACAAGGTATTGGAAACCGGAGTAAAGGCCATCCCCGTTGGCAGAGAACTTGGCAGAACAGCGTCTGTGCCTGAGGGCTTTGTGGAAGACTGAGCTGGAGAGTGATGGACTGGAGTATCTGGCAGAAGAAATGTGTAAACCAAATACAGAAGGAGCTGCATGGCTACTTTTGGCCACTTACACTGAGATCTGGGAGCCAAGGAATAACTTGAACACAGAACTTATGATTAAAAGGCAAGTGGAGCTGAAAGATTTGGACAGCTCACAGCCTGGCCACATAAAGAATGAACAAGCATGATCAGGAGAGGAAACCAAGGGTGTAGCTCAGTGGCCCTTTGCTAAAGAGACTAGAGGGGATGGAGGGATCCAGGTGCTGTTCCTCAGAACAGTGGAAGAAAGACTGACTCCAGAAGGCATTTGAGTCCTCCCCATCACAGGCCCAGAGGCCTAGGAGGGCAGAGTGGTTTCAGGGGCCACCAGGATCTCACCGCCCAGGGCTACATCCCACACCCTGGCACAGTGTTCCAGAGATGCCCCAGGTGCAGCTCCTGCCACACCTCTGGAAGGTATCAGTCATAAACTTTGGCAGCACCAAGGCTGTGCTAATTCTGCAGGCTTGCAAGAGTCACGAACTCTGGAAGCATGACAGCCTCCACCCCTATTTCAAAGATGTCCTCAAAAGTCTGAGGGCCCAGGCAGAGACTTGTCATGGAAAAGGAGCCACCACAGAGGGGACCTCACTAGAGCAACGCCTGGCGGAAATGCGAGGAGAGAGTCTGCCGCAGACAGTCCACGGAGAGTCCAATGCCAAGTGGAGCCATGGGAGCAGGGCTGCCGCCACTGGGCCCCAGAACTGTGGAATCGTGGGCAGCACGCAGCAGCCCCTGGGAAAGCCTCAGGCTCCACACTCCAAGCCACGCAAGCAGCCTCCTGCACAGCAACCAGATGGTGGGGCTGCCTGAGGCCTTGGGGCCCAACCCTCACCCCAGTGTGTCCAAGACATGGCACATGGAGTCACAAGAAATTATTCTCGGCTCTCCGCGCCACTCCCAGCCGCAGCCTCCTGTGCCTCGCTCAACTCCAGCATGGCAAAAATCTCGAGCCCTACAGAGACTGAGCGGTGCATCGAGTCCCTGATTGCTGTTTTCCAGAAGTATGCTGGAAAGGATAATTACAACTACACTCTCTTCAAGACTGAGTTCCTAAGCTTCATGAATACAGAACTGGCTGCCTTCACAAAGAACCAGAAGGACCCTGGTGTGCTTGACCGCATGATGAAGAAACTGGACCTCAACTGTGATGGGCAGCTAAATTTCCAGGAATTCCTTAATCTCATTGGCGGCATAGCTGTGGGTTGCCATGACTCCTTTCTCAAGGCTGCCCATTCCCAGAAGCGGATCTGAGGACCCCATGGGCATGGCCTCCAAACCCACCCCGTTTCTTTCCAGCCTCCCGGTCATCATCCCCTCCTCACAGCCCACACTCCCCTGAGAATAGCACACCCGCCACCCCATGCAGGCCTCACCTGCAGGTACTAATAAAACAGTGTCATTTTTTTAAAACAAACAAAAAAGAAATTATTCTCTGGCTTTAAGATTTATTGTCTGCCCTGCTGGAGTGTGGACTTGCTTGAGGCCTGTTACTTTTCTCTGTATCCTAGTTTCCTCAATTCTCATCATTCCGTAACTTCTGCAATCCACTTCCTCCTGCCAGTCAATTTACGCTGTCACCCAGTGGTCATCAGAGGCCTTCCTTGGTCATCTTTGTGGCATGTGACACCACTCACACTACTCCTTCCCCTGTGGACACTTCCCTCCTGTGTCCTAGAATACTGTTGGACACAGTCCAGCCTGCTCAGTCACTCCCCACTCCCCATGCACCGTGCCTCTCCCACGAACCACTGACAGACTCTCCCTCACTCCCCACAACTCCCAAAATGAGCCAGGGCAAACTTTGAGGTAAAAATAAAGGTGTTTGAGTATCACCTGACATCATGTGGGCATTTTGCTCCTTGTTATTCTTTAACGTCTTTCAAACCATCCTTGGGCTTCCAGTGCCACGGTCAACCCAGAGCTGCATTCACTGGGCAGTGTTCTAGTTCTGGTCATGGCGACTTTCCCCTTCTCCCAGGGGGATCCCTATAATTACCTGGTCTTACTCTCCTGCTGATACCCACAGAGAAAAAGGAAATGTGCATGGTGGCAAACCCCAGAGAGACCTGCGTGTGAATGTTCTCTCTGCCACTTCCTGCCTGTGTGACTGTGCTGTGGGGCTTCTGCTGTCTGAACCCCAGTGCCTCATGTTGGACGTGACAGTATTTTGTTGGGAGGGTTAGATGGAGTAATATGTATAAAGTACCTGTGCTGTGGTTCAAACGTGTCACGAGGAAGCATGCGTTGGAAACTTAAGCATGAGCGCAGCTGTGTTGGCAGGCAGCGAGGCCATGAGGGCTCCACCCCCACGAGTGGATTAATGCTGATTATAAAAGGGTTGAGGCTGCGAGTTCAGTCTCTTTCCCTCACTCACTCACCTGCTTGCGTCTGCCATGTGATGGCACAGCAAAATTCCCTCTCCGGATGCCAGATCTTCATGTTAGACTTCTTAGCCTCCAGAACTGTGAGAAATAAACTGTTCTTCTTTATAATTTACCCTGTCTGTGGAATTCTGTTATAGCAACACAAAATGGACTAAGACAACCTGATAACTAGGAGGTATCAGTGATAGATATTTTTATTTCAGATATTCTGGCTAAAGTATTAGTTTCTTCCTAAGCCCAGGATCTTTGCATTTTAGCAACAAACAAGTCTTAATTAATGCAAAGAAATCAACCTGCAGATATGGTAGAAACGTGGACCCCTCTAGCCTAGTTGAGGGAGTGTTTTAGGAATAGAAGGATAATTGGTGTTCCTTGTTAGTGTTCCAGAAGGGCGAGTTGATTTCCTTCTCGATGTGCTCCGCCCATTTCTACCTCCTGCCATTGTGGCAGGCTTTTTCTTCACCTCAAAGTTCTGCTTTCCTCTGTATTAAGTGTTTAGTATTTTTAAGCCAAACTCCAAGGCATTTCAACAAATATCTATTGAATACTTGCTGTTTTCAAATAATTTATTCCTAGGTCCAGAGTGAGCCTAAGGGGCAAGAACGGTTCCTGTGCCAATGAAACTTACCATTGAAAAATCAGGCTTTCAGATAACTATTGTGATTAGTACTGAAAGAAAGGTACAAAATGCTAAAAGTCAGGAGACCCAGGAAGGTTTCTAAAGAAAGAGATATTTGAATTGGGCTTTAAAAATGTAAGGTACCACCGTAGGCATTTTAATCAGCTAGGGATTTAATTCAGGGAATTAGGGTCTTGCCAAAAAAACCATGTTGGAATGGCTGAAAGAGCAGGTTCCTTACGCCTCCTGGCTTGACCCTGGAACAATGCAGAACTGGCCCACTGAGGCACTTGCTACCCATGAGGAGAAAGTATGAACAGATTTGAGTGGAAAATTTAGGGGCCAGGAGTTGAAAGTTGGACCCAAAGGTCAAAAGTGAGAGCTAAAGAAACATTTGCTCCCTTTTAGATCTTTGGTGGTTCTCCAGACCAGGTGGCTGTGAGTCCATTTTCTAGCCAAGTACATGATACTCTCACACCTTCCTCTTTGGATGGGAACTCATCTTGATCTTGCGAAATGTGGACAGTCTATTCTTCATGAATCAAGACGCTTAGTCTCAGTACCTCCCTATTTCCAAGGAGTCACATCATCCTGAGCAAGGTTAATGAAGGATTCACAAGTAAATAGAAATGAGATGAGGAAATGAATTACAGGTGTGGTCAGGAATAGGACGAGGGTATATAAAATTAGAGTATTGAAAGGTGAGAAAGGTGAGAAATAAATTTCTGTTGTTTAACCACCTATTTTATGATATTTTGTTAGAGTAGCTGGAATTGACTAATATAGAAATGGAGCCTCTACAAGTCAAGGTTACTATCTCCTTGGGTTTCCAGGCAATGGAAGATAACTCAGGAGGTTGCAAACAAGAGTTTGTGTTGGAAGAAAACCTCAGAGCCCATTTTGTCCAGGGTCCAAATATATGGGTCCCTTGGCCAGGCACAGTGGCTCTCCCCGGGAGGATTGCTTGAGTTCAGGAGTTTGAAACCAGCATGAACAAGAGTGAGACCCCATCTCTACTAAAAATAGAAAACTTAGCCAAGCATTGTGGCAGGCACCTATAGTCCCAGCTACTTGGGAGGCTGAGGCAGGAGGATCCCTGGAGCCCAGGAGTTGGAGGTTGCTGTGAGCTATAATGAGGCCAGTGCACTTTACCCAGGGTGAGAGATTCCATCTCAGCAACAAGAACAACAACAACAACAACAAAAATGAAACCAAACCCCTCTCCTCACTCCCCACCTTTCATATAAAAAGAATTAAACAAATATATGGGCCCCAAAAAACAAGTAGAAACTGATTTAGATTTTGTTTTACGATAGTAGCTTTTTGCTCACTTTTTTCTCAGTGTGTACGCATTGTTTCTTAGTTTTAATCCAACTAGTACTGTGCCTGCATTCTTCCCAGAAGTGCCGTGCACCCTTGACTATGGCTCAGCTGACATTATCCGTCTCCTTAGTAATCTCCTGAGCCACTGCACCCTCGATCCTGGTGACCATTCGTCAGTCTAGGATGAGCTTAGCTAAGGTGTGGTGTCATTAGATCTTTTCACCAAATATTTTTGATTCTTTCCTTTCTGGGCACATGGGAGAATTAAACTTCCTGGTCCTCGTGTGGAATATGTGGTGGGGGTGGGGCGAGGGGTGCCATGTTAACACTGTCCAGCGAGTTTGTTAGCAGAAGTGAGGTAGATTCCTCCTGAACTGGGTATTGAACTGTTGATGCAAGATCCCCCAGAGCTCTCTTTCCCCACCGGCATGACAATAGCCAGTGTTGAAGATGGTGGCTGTTCCGTGAGCCTGGATCTCCAACTGACTACAATGAGCAGAAGCCCCCACTCCAACCGGCCATAGACAGCGTGGGAAAGAGAAATCTGTTTGGTTTTGGCCGCTAAGATATGGGAGCTGTTAATGCAGTGTAAACTCGCATGTCTTGATCCACTGATGCACTAAGATGTTGATTCCTAGATCACTCCTGAGCCTAACACTTCCTGCTGGCTCACTCCAGCCAGTCTTCCAGCTCCGCACAGCGCCAGACATGCCAGGATTCAGGCCCTGGATTCAGGGTTCTTTCCTGGAATTTTCCACTCTGGTTTTTTTGGTGCTTTTTTCTTTGCTTTATGAAAATCCAGATTAACCCTTTTTCTTTCTCCCAACTTTTTTGATTGCACAACATCACTATAACAACACCAAGAAAAGAATTTTTAGCCAGGCACGGTGGCTTGTGCCTGTAGTCCCAGCTACTCCAGAGAGA